GGGCACTTGGTCTCCCTCTCCCCTTTCCCCTCCCAGAAGAGGATCTGGATGAAGCATACCACCCATGTGGAGTGGTAGGTGGCCTGCTGGGGCACTCACCGCTGCCAAGCCGCAGGAGCAGCACGTCCTGGAGCCTCCGGTTGAGGTCACGGAGCTCCTTCATTTCAGACACAAGTGCCCCGTACTCCTTGAGCTTCTTGGCCTGTTGTACCAGCTGCCTGCGAGTCCGCTCCAGCTCCTGCTGGAGGTGGCGCATCTCTTCCTGCTGCTGCTGGTAATTGCGCAGCAGCTCCTCATACAGAGCCCGGGGCACCACAGCATCTTCTAGACTGTCCATGTCCTCTGTGCCTGGCGAGGCCTCCACGAAGACCTCTTCCGGACACGTGCTATGGCCCAGGCTCAGGCCGTTCTGCTTCTCTAGCCGAGCCACCACGGCCTCGATGCTCTTGTGCGCCACTTCGCTCGGCTTCCGCCCCTCAGGTCTCTGTGTAGGACAACGAGAATCAGTTCAGGCAAGGGCAGCTGGGACTTTCTTGGACTGCAGCTCAATATTTCCCCAGACAATCCTAAAATCACAGAATCACAGAACATCAGTGCTTGGAGAAACCTGTGCACACACTTAGTCAAAGCCTTTCATTTTATAAATGGGGAAACATTTTATAAATTTTATAAATGGGGTTCTGAGTGGGGAAGAGGCTTGCCCAAAGTCATAACCAGGATACTGATTTCCCAGGCCTGCACTTTTTCCTTTCACCACTCTGCCTCCTGGATGCATATATCATGACCACCCTTCCCAATTCCCCAGGCCCCAGCCCACCCACAATGCCTAGGCAGTGGCTTGCGTATGGGGGTGTTCAATATGTATTTGTGGAGAATCAGGGAGAAATCAGGCCAGGCCAACTGATCCCAGAGGAGTCACAAATTTCTTCAACAACAAAAACAAAAAATTCCTCCCCTAAAGGCAATTCACCATGTAAACTTTTCATCAAGAATGCTTTAGATGGAAAGGATGTTAAAAACTCTAGTCTACTCTAATCTAGGGAAGAAAACATGTCATATTTTCTCTGTTCCTCCTTTGCCTACTCACTCAGAACTGGCACTCAGTAGGGGCTTGAAAAATGTTTACTCAACCGAAAAGTTCAAAGAATTCTAGCATTGAAAGGTACTTTCAGTTTCACTTCCTCATGTTCCAGGTGAGAAAACTGAGGGTCAGAGAGGGGAAGGACTACACTTAGGGTCACATAGTGAGATACAAACAGAGCCAAAACCAGAATTTGGAATCTAACTTCCAGTACAAGGCTCCTTCCCCCCACGTCTGCCAGCCTCTCCCTCAGCAAGACAGTGGATAGAGAGAAGAAAGTTAATTTACAAAAGAATTATCCAGGACTCCCCCAGGGCTTGGGGTTCTACTGCCAGAGGAAATTCTAGCTCAGGTAGCTACAGCTTCTACTGAGGGGCAGTGAGAGTTACAGGATCAAATGAATTCTTTCACTCAGGGTAGTAGGGTTAGGAGCTCTCCTGACTCGGGCACTTGTAGGAAGTGCAGACGACTGAGGACAGGCACTTCTCACTAAGTTTCAGGAAATTTAAGGAAAACCAAACCAAATCAAACCCAGCCCAATGAAACTATGACTCTGATATTGTGTTACATGACAAAATCTTAAGTCGTTTTATCTGCTGGGATAAGGTGCTACCAGTGTAGATGAATTTATCATTTATCTAAAGTGATCGTTACAATATGTCTGCGTCACAATAATGTGAGACCCCTGGAGGCAGGGACCATGTCTGGCTAATGGCTCCAGGTACCAGCACAGGGTCAGGCCCATAGCAGGAGTACAGTGAATGCCATGAACTGAACTCAGCTACATTCCCTGGGAACACCCTCAACCTTGTGTCCAAAATCAGACCATGGGCAATGCAGAAGACATCCCATTTCCTTATCTTCCTTCTCCCTTCCTCTCAGGTATCTACTGCACAGAAGAAAACAGCTAGCTTGCCGAACAAGATTTTCAGCAGTTTCCAAAGTAAAGGCTGGAGACCAACTGGGGCACACAGCAAGAAAATGCAACCTCATGCAAACGTTTTCATCTAACCCAAGGTCTCACAGATCCCTTTTGTGAACCTCGTGCACTTCCCAATGAGTCCAGCCTTAGCAATTTGGGGCAATCTGACAGTGACTGGCCCTAAACTTCTCCCCAAGAACAGCTGCTTAACGTTGTTGGAGCTCAGCAGTGGCCTCTCCAGAGCTGTGGGCTAAGGAGAAACACACCGTTCCAAACCTCCAACAGCGATGACACTGCACAGACTATGCAAACAGGACCGTGCTTGGTGGCACAGCATGAATCAGGGCTCTCTGGAAAGTTGGCCAGCAAGGCAAATACACACTAGTTGTCCCATGCTTTCCCTACCCTGAAAAAAATCATGGCCTCTGATACCAGGGGACATTTACATGGGGAGAGGAAGCCAGACTGAAATTCTTTATCTATGAGGTATCTGAAAATGCTCCCGCATACTTCCAAAGAAAGAAAAGATTTTGTTACCTTGATGTGTCTAAGCTGTAAATCTTCTTCCCCATAATCTTTAACCTCTCCATCTTCTTCTACATGATTAAGAGAAAGCTTGGGGATTTTTATTTTCTTCTGCATCACACTGTTTTCAAGGTCAGATTTGTCTTCTAAAATGCATATCAAGAGAACAAGGTTCATCATGAGTTAAAATGAGTCATTATGAGTTTAGAATGCCCAAAACCTCAAATGCTAGAAAATAATTGAGGCCAGACCAGTTAAAAACGAAAAACAAACAAACAAACTCAAGGCCGGTTCCCTCTTGCATGCAGGCATCCTAATAGCAGTGCAGATCAAACTCTAGGAACAAAGGTGCTTGCGAAAAGCACTGTCATACAAAGTGTTGAAATAGCAGCCAGTGAATTTGCTTAGGGGTTTCTCTAAGTGTACCCTAATGGGTGGCCTTTTATGGAATTCTAGAATCTTGAATTGGAACAGCCCTTAGATTGCTATCTGATCTAAACTAAAATGGCCCATGAATCCCTCAACTCAACTGTGATCTTTCTAAGCCAAGTGTCTTCCCAGGAGAACTTGGTGGGTTTCTGTCAGCTCAAGTACCAATAGACATGAGAGAGATTATAGCTGATAGGGATGTAAGGAAGGGCAGGGGTATCTCCACAACCCTACACAAGGCAGGCTAAGGTAAGGCAGGCTAAGGTAAAGCAGACGGGGGAAGAATAACATTTATCCCCTTTTTACTGGTATCAAATCTCAGCATGCCTGAGTCTGAGGGACCTCACTGAACAAGTGGTCCAACTCTCTCATGTTACATGAGGAAATTCAAACCCAGAGGATGGAAGAGGCTTGCCAACGGCATGAGCTGAGGAACAGCCAGGAGTGGGAAAGAGGCCTCTGGCACCTCGCGTCCACTGCTTACATGTGCTGACAACACATACTGAACGTACAGTGCTACACAAATACAAAAGGATATTATTTCTACTCATTTTCTCATTCTTTAAGCTCAACTTCAGATAATCTGTTTTTTTTTTTACTGCACAGATTTCAAACTGGACTTTCCAGATTTGTCTCTCACTGGATATGTCCAAAAATAAAAGTTCAAACAAGAGGGCTCCAGAGGTAAAAATCTCAGTCTTTTCTGGAACTGTACCCTTGTGGTAAAATACTTTGTGTTCAAAGCTTAAATTGACACTTTAGAGATTGCTGTTTTTCATAGTCCTCAAAGGTTCCCATTGCTATATCCCAAATGTGTTTTGTAGCATGTTGCCCAATGTTGGATGTAGCATATGGCCAGGTAGTTAGTTAAATCCAGTCTTGAAGGGGTGTGTGTGTGTGTGTGTGTGTGTGTGTGTGTGTGTGTGTGTATACGTATGCATGTATTTGCATGTGTTAAACATGCTCTTACACTGTTCCCAGGCCAGGCTTCTCTCCTCACAACTTGTTAGTAAAGCTGAGAAGGCAGCTTATAAGCACATAACTATTCCAGAATGTACTCAAATGCTGAATCTTCCCAAACAGTCTTCGTGATGAAGGCCCAGCTGGTCAGAGGTGGGAGTCCAATATCAGAGACTTAAGTGTGAACCTCAGCTTTTCTATGGCAGGAAGAGGACAGGTATGTAAGGGCCTTAATCTCTCTGGACATAATGGAGGTTGTGAGGATGAGAGCAATAATTCACGCAACTCACTGGACAATGCCTGCTACACACTGGCCATTCGATGGATGGCACAATATAATTGGTATTGTCAATATGTTCTGAATCATTTTCTTCTCTTAAGCATAAAGTGAATAGAGATTTAATTTAAAAAAATGAAGAAATGATTTAAGTAGGGTAAGGATGATTAATGAACTGCTCAGAAAAAAAGGAGGTGGTCTTTGTTAACAACCCCCTACGGATAAAAATGGCCTTTCCCACTGAGCAGAGGAGCAACCCTTGGGTTTCTATTTTCACAACAATGGCTCGTTCTTGCACTCTTTGTGCCTATAAAATGCATCCAATGGGTTATGAACAACAATAGGGACGCGGGGTTTTCTAAAAGAGCAACAGTTTCCCTCCTACAAATCACTGCTGACTTATAAGTTAAAGGGATGCTAAAATGTAAAACCTAAAGAAAGTACTTCAGATGAAATTATCTTACCATGGTGTTTGTGTATGTGTGTATGTTTGTGTGTCTGTGTATGTGTGTGTGTGGAAAAAAACAGACAAAAAGAGAGAAAGAGAGAGAAAGAGGATGAGGGTGGTATTAGGATTTCTGAATGTGTTGGGGCAAAGCTCCTGGGCTAGTCTTCAATTTGACAAGTTCAGGACAAAGTTTGACATGCAGAGCCACCAAACTAGAAATGACAAGCTATGTTATGCCTTCCTGGGCTGAAACTCTAGCTCAGGATCATGTTGGTGTGGAGAAAAGCAATCATTCGGACTCACAAAACCACGTTAACATCTGGATGGAGAATGATCCTCAGATCATCCAATTCTATTTTTCAAAATGCAGATGAGAAAAATAAAGTTCTAAATGGTGAAGTCTGTGCATCCATGCATGCAACTCTCAGGCCCAGGAATAAAGGAGGGGCAGGATGAACAGGGTCCCTATCCTGGAGAGCTCACTGTTGTGCAAGGTCACAGAAGTTAGTGTCATAACATGAATGGGGGAGAACTTGGACCACTCCAGATCCAGAGCTTTGCTTTCTATGCCTCGACTTAACCTTTACTGAGAATTTACTCTGTAGGATCTAAACTAGGTCCTAGGGACACAGATGAACAAACATCCAGCTGAGGATATAAGATAAAAACACAAGAAAAGATAACTCAAGATCTCAAAAGCTGAATTTGAATAAGGGAGAAGCAACTGCTAAAGGATTCCGGGAGCAAGGGAAATCACTTCGGTCAGTGTAACCCTGGAAGGCTTTTGAAAGGAGGTGGCATTTGAGCTGGACTCCTTACTTGCTAGGTAAGTTAGGAGTAAGTTAATTTACTTCTCTGAGGCTATTTCCTCATCTATGAATTGAAGTAAATAATTCCTACTCACATTGCAGAACATTGTGAAGATTACCAATTCGGTGTGTTAAAAACTTGAGTAGAGTGAATGGCACTTCAACAGTTGGTGCGCATAAAAGGATAGCCATTTAAAGGATGGTAAGAATCTGGACTACACAAGAGGGGTAAAGAATAGAAGCCAAATGGGGAAGGCTGGGGAAATATTTAGATCGAAATGGTTAGATCGAGATGGTTCAGTTACAGGCAGGAGGGAGAGGTGAGAAGGGAAGAAAAGGTGGTGGGAACTAGAAAATAAGTGGCCTTGAATGCCAAGTTAAGAAGAGCTGAGGCTCAGTGTGCCGATGGGGAATAAACTAGGCATCAGACAACCTGGATTCCAAGTCCAGTTCTGTCGCTTTGTAGGTGTGAGATGTCAGGAAGCGGCTACCTCATTGAGCATAATTTTTCTCTGTAGAAATGGAGATACAATATCTACCTCAAGTCGGATCAAATCAGCTCAGTAAATGTTCCTTGAAAACAAAAGAGCCCCAACAAAGAGATAAAGACACAAAGACGCAGTGGATGACAGAGCTCAGCAAGGATTGCCTGCTGGCTTCTGCTGGCTTGGGGCAGGCTTGCTTCTGGAGGTAGAGACCTGCCTAGCTGCCTAAGATGGGTGACACTCCCCATCTGATGACAGGAGGCCTCATCGCCCTACCAGCTATACTCAAGGCTCTAGGCTCTTCCATCTAATTAGAATGCCCTTCTTTCTTGTGTGCTTGACAAACTCTGTTTAGCTTCCACTCATCTTCTCCCCTGCTCTCAAAGGTGCCATTACACATCTACACATCCTACATACCTTCTTTGTAGTCTATTATCTTACTATTTGCAATTATCAGCTTAAAGATCTTATCCACTGGTGTATGAGTAACCTCAGGGTAGGGCCCATATCATAGAACTATCCATACAATAGAGACTCATCAAACAAAAATGTTTAATGAAAAAATAATAAAAAGAGGCTACACCAATAAGCATATGAAAGGAGCTCAACATCGTCAGTCATTAGGGAAATGCAAATCAAAACTACAATGAGATACCACTTTATACTCATTAGGATGGCTCAAATCAAAAATAAAAGTAAAATAGCAAGTGTTGTAAAGAATGTAAAGATATTGGAACTTTCATACATTCCTGTTGGGGAATGTAGAATGGGCAGCCACAGTAGAGAACAGTATGGCAGCTCCTCAGAAAACTAAACACAGAATTACCATAACCCAGCAATTCCACTCCTGGGTGTATATGCAAGATAAATGAAAACATATACCCAAACAAAAACGTATACACAAATGTTCACAGCAGCATTATTATTAACAGCCAAAAGGTGGAAAAAACCCAACTGTTCATCAACTTATGAATGGCTAACAAAATGTGGTATACCCATACAAGAGAGTATCATTCAACCATACAGAGAAATGATGTACTGACTCATGCTACAACATGGATGAATCTTAAAAATATTATGCAAAGTAAAAGAAGCCAGACACAAAGGCCATTTATTGATTTCATTTATATGAAATGTTCAGAATGGGTAAATCCATAGAGACAAAAAGTAGTTTCGTTGTTACCAAGAGCAGGCGGAAAAGGGCAATAAAGAGTGACTGTTCAATGGGTAACACGGATTTCTTTTCTTTCTGAGTGATAAAAATGTTCTGGAATAAAATAGTGGTGATGGTTACAGAACACTGGGAATATATATACTAAAAAACACTCACTTGCACACACTTTAAAATGGTTAAAATGGTGACATTCACATCAAATGAAATATATCTCAATAAAAAATTAAGTTACTACTTGTGGAATGTCTACTACATGTCAGATACCTCTATAAAGATCTTCATATAAATTATACCTCATAACAACCCTGCAAGTAGGTATTACAAGCCACATTTTTTTTTCCCCAAAAAAGAAGAAACGAGCCTCAAAGAAAGAAAACTCTCTTCCTAAAGTCACCCAGCTGGGAAGGTACACAGCCAAGATGTGCTCTAATCAACATGCCTCCTAAGCCTATGCTTTATCCCCTCTAAACACATTCCTGGAACATGGTAGAGCCAGAATAAATACTGAATGAATGAGTGAATGACAGCTACAGTTGAGGACATCCAAATTCCCCAGCCTAAGTT